GTAGTAGGAGCAGGAGCAGGAACAGTAGCAGGAGCAGTAGCAGTAGCAGTAGCAGTAGCAGTAGCAGTAGCAGTAGCAGTAGTAGTAGTAGTAGCAGCAGTAGTAGTAGCAGCAGAGGTAATAGTAGTAGTGGTGGTAGTAGTAGTAGTAGAAGTAGTTCGAGGAGGAGCAGCAGCAGCAGCAGGAGCAGTACTACTACCACCGCTAGGTCGTCGTCCTCGTCGTCGGACAAGCTTTCCTCCCTCCACACACGGCAGACTATCAGGATGCCTCGAGGTCATCTTCCCGCTTCCGCTTCCGTGATGTCTCCATGGCAGGTGCAAGTCAGGAGAGATTCGAAGAATTGCATGCGTCTCGAGATGGGGCATGTAAAACTTGAGCAATCGAGCGGCCTGCCCTCCGGGAAACTGTTATTCTACGTAATTCCGGTTGTATCGAGGTCCCTGTGAAGATTGCTGAGTAGCAAATCGTGCTATCATCGCCAGCCTGATGATCTGCAGGCTTATCCTGCTCTGGCGCCTGCCATGTGTAGTATGTCATTTTGGTTGTTGCTTACTCTTCCCTGTCTACTTCGATTTGGACCATCCGCTAGGCTGCCAGTATAGGCCAAAGTTTGCAGGACACCATCATGTTCTAGCCTGAGGCGGTGCCCGAGCCATAGTCCCCGGGGGAAGGGAGATGTACGAATCTTGCTCTAAGGAACCTCACCCCTTCTCGTATACCTCCTGTTCCCGGTTGCAGTCCTTGTGTCCCAATCTAAGGGACCTGCGAAAGTAAGTCGCTTGCCGTCTCGAGATTTGCACATGCAAGGCTATTCCTCTTTGATCGACCAGAAACAATTTAGCATCACCCCCCAAACCCCATTCTAAACATTAAGGCTCCTATAGTACATCGAGAGAACGTGAGAAGTCAGGGGGGCGTTTTTGAGATTCGAGGCATTGCAATCCGTTTGCTTCGGGTGCAAGGGTTTACGTTCTGGTTGTGTGGAGGTTCCAGTTGGGGTTGCGAGCAACTCGGTTCTGGAGCAGCAGCAGCAGCAGCAGCAGCAGCAGTAGCAGCAGCGGCAGCAAGTAGGGATTAGGCCCTAGGTGTTTAGCAAGCCTCACCATTTAGCCCCAATTCGCTCCCCTGAAGACACCCAGCAAACCCTGCTGACATCTGCTCTCTACCGAGCCCCCGGCGCTGCAGGGACGCCGAAGCTACTCGGAGAGCCTCCGGCGCGTCGGGACGGGCACTGACTGGGGGCTGTCGGGGGGCTTTGCAATGGACTTTTTAGGTTGAAGAAGTCTGTTTAAGAGCATTTCACAGTCTCGGGGCTGTTTGTTTGGGAAGGTCAACGGAATTCATTCGCTGTCATACCGTGATAATATCGTTCTCATAGTCGTGATAAAGGTAGCAGCAGCAACCATCGCAAGCATGCTCGGAATCTTTCTCATAAAAATGTACGACCAAAGCACCGACTAACAACATCAGCCAGACCTCATACACTTAAGTCATGATTGCTCGGTAGTTATATCCATGAAATCAAGCTCCGGCATATACCACTGTGGTCACGTCATCGTCAGCATCAGGACAATGTTCAGCTCCATCATTGCTCATTGCAACTGCTGTTGCCGTTCTTGTTCCCTTTGTTGTTCAGAGGAGGGCACCAGCATGCCAAAGTTCGACAGGGATCTTTTCGCGACACACGGCCACAACAGTCACACTGAGAAACTCGGGCGACGGGTACTGCAAGCCAAGCGCGAGACATGATCGTCGGCAGGATCAGCACAAGCATAACTAACAAGTTCAGAAGAAACAGCCCTTGCGCAGAATATGATCCTGGCATAGAGGAAACACGACAAGAGTTCAGTCGTGCGCAGGTGGTGTTATCCCCAAGCTGAAAAGTTCACAGAAATTCAACCTGAAAACACAGACAAAAACAAGCAGTCCCGACTTGGTAGCAAGCATCCTGCCCAGAATCTTTCAAGCTCCACAACTAATGATACCCGATACCCCCATGTGCCTCTAGGTATACTGTTCTACAACCAAAAGCCCCCAAATCCCGAATCAAATTAGTGAGTCCCCTGTACTTCCCTCGCAAGCCTCAGAAGCTGCTTGGCCGCCTCGCTGCAGCCTCTCGGGTAAGTCGGGCTGACGTTTGGAGGCTGCAGGAGACCGTTTGAGACTGCTGCAGCTTGTGGAGAACATCTGAAAGTTGGAGTATGTGTAGACATGTATTTCTATATCTATTCGCAGTTCTTGTATGCGCGCCGCATGCGTGACACATGCAGCTTTTCCGAAGAATAAGACGGATGTCGGGTTCCTCCCATCGAGGAGGAGTCCCGAAGTTCAGCGTTCACTTGTACATCTGCGCCTGATCTTCGATGCAGTTTCTTGGAGTTCCTGCTGCAAGCTGCAGGGATCAGAGCGAAGGTCAATCTCACAACGGTGCCGCTGGAAGGATAGAAAGGTTGCACAGCTTACTTCACGATGAACTCCGCCAAAGCCAACGCTGCGATAAGACATGCACGCAAAACAAGGAAAAACAATGGGCAAGAAGAGAAAAAGACTGTAAAGACGGCTTGGGAGCGACTTGGCAACCGAGCCAAGGCTCCGCAGGTACGGATTCTGAAAAAAGGGCTCTCTGCCCAGGATGGATTTGAGTTTCAAGACTTCCAAGGAGAACGCTCGTGGTGGTGGTGGTGGTGCTGCTGCTGCTGCTGCTGCTGCTGTTGCTGATGCTGATGCTGATGCTGATGCTGATGCTGATGCTGATGCTGATGCTGCTGATGATGATGATGATGAGGATGGTGATGGCGATGATGAGGATGGTGATGGCGATGGTGATGATGATGATGATGATGATGAGGGTGGGGATTGGGAGGAGGAGAGGAGGAGGAGGGTGATGATGAGGCGGCGAGGAGGAGGACGACAAGGATGACCACAAGGACTACGACTTGTCATCAGGCTTCATTCGGACACCGCTCCTGCTGAAGCTTCAGCGCACAGTGCCTCTGGACAAACGCCGTTGCCTTGCGATGCTCGCACGGAGCTTTCTTGGCTTTGTTCGTTGTTGGGCTTCGGGCACACTGTTGAGTGGGCACCACAAGAACCTCAGATGCGATAGATTACTGTGTGAATTTCAGCTTCGAAACCGCTGTCCAGTACTGTCCCAACTCAGAACACACCACACACCCCTGGAGCAAAAGCTGTTGTGGACAGGCCTTCCGAGACAGCAATGTTGCTGCCCGAAAGGAGCTCCCAATCCCAATAGCTATGCTGCACCTCGCCTCTGCCCACGCCTTTGGCGCTGCCTCCCACATAGCACATGTAGGATGTGAAGGGCTTGGGGTTTTGTGAATTCGTAGGTTTTTGCGCTCCGGGTTGTTGTGGGCCACAGCCACACGGGTGGTGAAAGGTGTTCTCCACTTAAACCCTAAACCCTAAACAGGGGAGAGTTCGACAAGGCCCGAGGCGAAGGACCCTGTAAAAGGCAGCAAAGACCTCCTCGAATGCACTTTCCGGCTCAAGCCAACGTTCCTGTCTTGGAATGTCCAACCCCAACCCTGAAAAGTCGAAAGCCCATAGCAACAACCTCAGAAATTGCTTAGATGTGGCTTCTACGTGCATATGCGACAAGGTTTGAAAAGTAACACGTCCTCATCTTCGGGATAACGTAGGGCTCCCTTGCTCGGACCTCTATTCTGTTGTTCGAAGATCCTGCCCGCAGCTTCTTCTCACGCTCGACGAGGTGGTGCCTATGTCCCACCGCGCCACTTTGGACCGCGGACCAATCGGAGTCACTAGCAGCTATTTGGAACTCCCGGGCCGTCCTTGATTCTGAGTTCCTGGTCCTCGTTAATGAAACCTGTGTATTCAATGTGCAAGGCATTTGGTCTACAATAGGTGATGCTGGATGCTACACCCTCAAACCTCAAAGTCATGAACCGGCCTGCTTTGGGCTGCATCTTTAGCCGCCACTGCCCCTACAACTCCCAAGACGGCTTCCTCTCTCGGATACTGGGCAAGCCGTCAACCCTAAAACAACCTATAAATCCCCATCAAAAAGCCCTGAAAACGCAGAATAACACCATATAGAGCCCATACAGCCCTTCCGAAGCTCTGCAAAGGCCTGCACATCGCCTCACAGGGCGATCATGAACCCGAAACCGATATCCTAAGCCTCACTCACCCAATGTTTTCTCGGCCCGGAAGAGCTCAGCATCGCCACTTTCCCGCCACAAAAGAGTTCGGTGCTTCCCAATGCAGGCTGAGTGCTGTGCATCTGTTAGATGAGGGATCCTACAAGGCAAGCCAGCAACGAAGGAGACTATTCATCCGCGGTCTATATGTCCGATGCCCGTGCATAAAATTCTGCGCAGTTGTACCGCAGCAGTTGGAGAGTTGATGTCGGGACCTAACATGGGGGCTGGTTTATCTGAATTTGGATACCTTTCAGCAGCTAAAGCAAACCACTGCTTAGAGCAACCCCTGCATACCGAATTTGGGGTTGAGGCCTGCCACGTTCAGGGCTGTTTTGAGCCTGTCGTTTCTCTCATTAAGGTTAGGGTTAGGGGTTAAGTATGTTGGTATAGGGTTTAGCAGTTACGGGAATGTGGCCAGGGTGTGGGATTCCGGTTCCAAAAATCACTGCAAGATCTCTGAGCCTGGGAAGCTGATTCAGCCTGGTGCCTGTGCCACAGGAGCCCAGGTTCAAAAGGAAAGGAGGAGCTCCCGACACTCTCAGCCCGAAGGTCCTCACCACTCTAACCCTTAATTACCATGAATGAAGCTTTGTCCGAAGCCTAGGACATAAGAATGCGGTGCGCCGCCCGGCGACGCGAAACCGTAGACGTCTCCAGTAACCCGAAGATGCTTGGAGCGACTCCTGTCAACTTGAACCTGGGCCCCCAGAGCAGACCGTTCAAAGACCTCCAAAGGGTCACGGGGAGCTGGGTTCAAACGCCCAGCCATCGGGGGCCGAGCGGCCGCATGATGTGCCGGAAGACCGGCCGCTCCCACCCCCCCCCGAATGTAAGCTTGTAAAGGCTTAGCGGCTTAAGGTTTTACATTTCATACTAGCAGAAGCTTTGCATCAGCAGTTTGGTAAGACGCCGCAGCCGCCATTGCTGACCGTGACCAGCCGAACCTACGCTACTCTGGATCTGATATGGGAGATTCAGAACATAAGCGCCTGAAGTAAAGACCCACTCAGTTCCGAAACAGCACCCAAGAAAGGGATCCTTAAGCTTCATCCATGTGAAAGCTACACATCTGAATCCTAAGGTCCTACGGCGTGTCGTTCTTGTTCCGCGCTCACGAGGCCTGGTGCTCGTCAAACGATCAGGCTTGCGAAAGATCGACTGCTGGGTCCTGAGACGCATGGTGATCGATTTGGGTAGTTCTCTAAATTAGGGTCCCTTTTCGGATCCCCAATATAGTACGGCACCCTTATAAAGAAGGAACCTAAAAGTCACCTGATTCAGAGAACTCCCCATTTTGGGCTGTGAGGTCCACGGCTTTAGAGCGGCCAGTCGGGGCCCGGGGCTCCAGGGCACGTGGAGCTCTGCAGTTCTGGGCTTCTCCTCAGACTTCGACGACTTCAGGCTTTCGGGCCTTGGTTTTTTCGGATTTTTCGGGAGTTAGCCTTTAGGAATGATGAGTATAAGCATTATACTATTCATACTCATGAGAATATCGTAACGATATAGTCATGATTCGTAAAGCATGGGAGTCGGGATGAATCCCAGTCTTCTACTCGAATCGCTCCTGTCTTGTAGCACTCAAAGGACCTCGCCCCCTGGTTCTTCTTCCCTGCAGCGAAGGCTCCCTCGTGCACCCAGTGGAGAGTCGAAGCCAGCTCGTCCCAGAGGTTACATTTGGGATCCCGCGGGAACAGGTCGTCCGGGAAGCGGTTGTCCTGAGTGCAGCGATTGTAGCCATTGCAGCCTTGAGTGAATACCCAGAATTTTGCTTCAAATTAGAACACGCACTGCTCTTCTCAAGTCTTCTGGATGCTATCCCTTCAGCCAGAGGTCGGCCAGGATCTCGTGAACCTCCGGGCCTTGGTGGCAAACGCAAGGAGTGGGGGGCGGCACAGGTCTCTGCGCAGCATCGACTGTAGTACGTTGAAGGCCAACCGTCCTAAACACAAACTTGCTGCCCAGCAGCGCCCCTTCAGGTCGTAGAAGAGCCGCTGCGTGGCATGAAATCGGGGCCAGTCAGAGAATTCTCGGTTGATGTCCTGCGCGACCCCGCTCTCTAGGCCGTGGGCTGTAGAGTTGTGCCAGTGGATGATGCTGTATAACTAAGAAATGGAGCTGCGGGCTTTCTCAGCTCGGGGTCGGTGTTGCACCAAGTCCCCTTGCCCGAAACACCGCGGACCTCGCATCCTGGAGGCCAGCGGCTTTCGTCCACACCCCCTGGGCCATCAGGGTTCTTGGGTTGTTTCGGTGTCAGATCTCAATCTGCCAAGCCCTTACTGTCATCACTGGCCCGAATTCCAACCCTACGAACCGTGTAACCTTAAACAGGCATGCTGGAGAGGACCTTGAGAAAGTTCTTGGGCGTGGGTTCTGGACCTTCACTAGACATAAACTCACTGAACCCTACTCCTCGAAGCTGGGACCAAACCCCAATCAAGGAAACAAACACACCAACTTGCAGAAACGCGCTCACACTTCTCTGCATCATCGAGATGACACAGTCGATTCTTGCTGCCGTCTCGCCACCATTGGGATCCAGCGCATAGGCAAAGGATGTCCACTTGCAGCTGATGATGTCCTCGGCCATCCGGTTGCAGATGCTGCCAACAACGACTTGAACAGTGTTTGGGACTTGTATGGGGACTATAAGGTCATACGGGATACTACTGTCGATGATATAAATCCTGCATTACCTTAAGGACCCTAAACTATGGGACTGATGGTCTATTCCTCATTATTGGTAATGCAGGATTGATATCATAAACCGTTTTGCTTAATGTTCCGGCTCACCTACTTTTCGAATTCCAGGTCCGAGCGAACTCGGCTAAAGTTGATTTTGCTCTGGCTTCCACGGCCATGATTATGACATCTGCTGCGGCCTTGGTCTGCAGAATCTACAGTCCATCCCGGACCAAACACCTGTCCCCAAGACCTGATACAAGCCTCTCTTTCGTGCCGACAAGGAAGACAAAGGTTCAGTTAGGGGACGTCTCGAGTCTAGAGGCCCCTGAGGCCGAAAGGATGCCCAATATTTCAAGCAATCCCCAGTTCTGTGCCGATCCAAAGCAAGGGACGGCCATGTGCCGCGGGGAGTGGAACGGATCGATCGGCTTGATGAACTCCAGCCAATTCCGGAACACCTCTTTGAAGCCATCTGAGTTGTGGGTCTTCAGCTGCCTACAAAGGTTTCCAGAAACGTGTCGTACAGGTACGATAAGGGCGACTGCAAGGGGAAGTGTACGGGTCAAGGGAAACATCGCTGTACAATGCATTTGACAAGACTTCGCCGCGCACACCAAGAGCCCAAGACCTCCACAAAATACACTTAAATCTGTAAGCGATAAACCCTAAACTAAACCACCGGAAAGTACACCATTGCCACCAGTCTAGCCCGAAGCCGTGCACCAGCATCAAGGCCAATCAATTAATGAAGTCGGGAAGCAAAAGGCAGCTCGCTACCGTGGAAGTCTCCCAAGCCGATGATCTTCGCGAGGCCGTAGCTGAAGTCGAAGACATACCTCACACTGACATTTGCGGGTTCCGAACCTCAGGCTTAGTTTTGTTGAGGTTTGCTTCTTGACGTTCTTGCGATCAAGGATCATTTAGGTTTTAGGGTTTAGGGCCTGGGCTTTCAAAGCCTAGACCCTAAAGTTTAGGATGAATGAAGAACACAGTCGCCTAACCCCTAAACCCTAAAGGCTATGGCCTAAGCCCGAGATCCCACCAGCGCCGAGTGGCATAAAGGCCGGAAGGTCGTGCTGGGCCCAAGCCGAAGACAGCGCCCTGCGGCTTCTCGGCAGCAATGTTTAGTTTGGGCCACCATGGTTAAGCTTCGGGTTTAAGGGTTTAGGGTTTGTTTTGGGGTCAAGGGTTTGGGGTTTGGGGTTGGGGTGGAGGTTCAGGATGTCGCAGATTTCTCCTGGGTTTCCAAGATGCTCGAGACAGTCTGTCAAGTGATTCCCATCATGCTCTCCCCAACAGCCGTCATCATGAACAGCACTCGTGCTATTGCGGATCATGTGGTACTGTAGTTATTGTCGTCATCGTCATGAGCACTACAAGTACGTACTTAGCATCAAAGCCTCAAACCTGGGCCACGAACTCTTGACGGGAGCCATGTTGAGAACTGGGATCTGTGCATGGAAGAGCAAAACCACTGTACTTAAGGAGGCCCCGGAATACGTCGACCCAAGCCCAGAACATACCTGAGCCTGGCCTCAATGGGCACATGAACATCATGTCGCGGATCATCCGCTTCATCATCTCGTCACCGTCGCCGCCAAACTCCTCGGCCGGGCAACTGCGTGGGGAAACTGCTTGAAGCGGAAGCTTGCGAGAGCCCCACTAGCTCTGCACGGAAATGGGGCCGTCCAGCCAGCTGAGCGCCCCACGCTCTCTTGGTAGATGGCCTCAACCTGGGTGACATTCCTCAGACATCAAGCAGGACATGCTCAAAAAGGACATCTGACCCCAGCCCCGCCGGCATGATCTTAAGAATGACCACTATTACATGCTCATTACAATCGCTATCATCATACCCACCCATCCAGCCATGAACCACCAACTAAGTTACATCGTTATCAACTTCACATAGCGTAGGGTGACATGGGCATGGCTTTTCCACTGCTACACGCTTCATGAACTCCTAACACGGTAGAGGGGTCTGTGAGAATATACCAGAGGGCCTTCCTAACTACTGAACTACTGCGAAGGAAGAGTAAGATGCTGGGAGTTCTGTTGTCTGGATGTTTTTGGTATGAGGTTTATGACAGCGGATGTAGGGCGGAGAGGAGTAGGCAGTCGACCTGGCCGCGGGGCCAAAGGAACAACTGGTTCGCTGCCATTTCCATGAACAAGTTGAGGACGTTCAATTGGATCAAGACGTAGCCCCGACACCCTATCTGCTATCTAAACCCGACGGTTGATGATATACTGCTCATAATAAGGAATATACCATAATTCCCATAGTTTAGTAGTTCCTGCAAACCCGGACCTGTCAGCCGCAAGCCCTGTAAATATTTAAGCCCGGAACCCCGCCAGGCCCTACAGTATAAGGGTCTGACTAACTAGCACTCATGAACGACGATAGTTTTTTTGCAGGATAAATGAACCCCCAAAACCCGAAATTTAACCAATGAGGCCCCTTACGCTAACCCACGAAACCCTACACCTTCTCAACGGAAGCCAGCCAAGGCGCTCGCGAAAGAAATAGCGCAGGGCCTCCCCCAGGGTGGCCGGGTGCCGCTTTACGGGCAGCTGGGCTCCCGGGAGAACCTTTCAGGGCTTAGGCGGTTTAGGGTTGAAGGGCAGAGGCTTAGTGCAGGGTTTACGGGTTGGGATTTAGGTAGGCCTTGACGCCTTAATCAGGTGTTGGGGTATCGAACTCCAGAGCCTTTACAGGTGCTTCCGGGTGTTGAGGCTTCAGGATGCATAGGCTTTGCTTGCACGAGCTTCGATCTGATCTGGACCAGAAAACAGCACAACAGAAGGAAGGCGTCAGGAGGGACCTCTCAGAGACTCACGAGCCTCCGTAATCGAGCGCCGCTTGTCAGTTGTCCTTCTGCCCTTCTGTTTCCACGAGGCCCGGCCCTGCAACACCTCCTCAGCCCTGAGAAGTTCTTGCAGCTCCAGTTGAAATGTCGTCCCACGGCCCCGATTCACACTCCGGCATTCTTTGAAAGCTCATTCCGGGCCTCTGTGAACCAGTGCCAACAGCGTTGGCTACCCCATATGCCCGCAAGCCAACAACTCGGAATGGAGTCGACATAGCGACCCAATCGGTTTCGTCACCACCCTCCTTGTTGATTGAAATGTGTGCGATATCTCTCCTTCAGGGTCCGTGCCCCACACTACTTTCAACTTTTCCGCCCATGCCACTTCCACGAATTGCATCCGTGATTTCATTCCCAGCTCAGGATCTAGGGACCAGAAACGCCGAAACGGGTTCGCAGAGTATCAAGCATAATCATGTTAAGGAAGCCTTTTCGTGTCCACGCCCCTGTATTCATTATGTTCCAACCCGACTGGAAGGCATTTCAGGTATCAACGCCGTCGGTGATTGCAGATGAGCAATTCGCGGGGATCAAGGCTCAGAGTTTGGAATGCCTGGATGTTAGGATGCTACTTTTTGGGGCCAGCCTAGGACCACCTGAGCATTGCTCACCCACTGTAAGAAGGCACGAGGGCCTCGGGCAGCATGTCCTCGAATATGGAGCCACCGTTCCTGACTCAGCTCCACACGATTGTGGAAGTCCCGGTCTATCCATACATGTACGAGACCTGATACCAACATGCCACCTGTACGGAGTCGAGAATGACTGCCCCCACCAATAAAAGGCAAGCCGCTCATTGGCCCCTAGGAGGAGGGGCACCTTGTTGAAGGCACCACGCTGGACAAGCCTTGCCGGCCAAGTTGAGATTCGGAGCCACAAACCTCAAACACAACCCTTATGTTTGTGCTTCATGGCTGCTACGATGATGATGAGGACGAGGAGGATGACGCGATGACGATGACGATTACGATGATGATGAGGAGGATGACGATGACCATGACGATGACGATAAGGACGAGCAGCGATGATGACAATCGTGACTCTGTCTAGGACGGCTTTCGGATTTAGGATTTTAGCCGTTAGCCAGTAGTCCTCCCAGCCACATCGCGGAGCAACCCGAGAAAGACACGAAAACATCGTTAATCACACCCAGCAACATCAAGGACCAAGACGTGGTTCAGGCCAGCAGTTGGACGTTAAGCTTCACGCTTTAGGCACAGGAGGAGGGGATTGCCCAAGATTCGATTTTTGTCGGTTGAGGCACTATGCACTGCACCATCCGTTCAAGACAATACATCCTGTGAAAGCTCTGCACAATCTATCCTAAACCCTCGACACTGCATCCAACCTTACAATCCCTGGTTCAACCACCTGCTTCTCTGGCTCAGGGCTTCGGGCTCGAGATTCGACATGTAACAAGGTGATTCGGCCGGTTTGAACAATGTGAGGCCTGGCAATAGGAGTGCAAGGAGAACGCAGAGAGTGCCGCCAGTCGGTGATGCTTGAACATGCTAATGACATTCACATCAATGGTGCCACAGGCTTGTCGTCGTTGTAAATCGCAGTGGACTAGTCATCTACGACGACGACGACGACGACGACGACGACGACAGCGACGACGA